TTCGTTAAATTCATTTATTATGACGCAATAAAACAAGTATCTTATTTAGTTTTAAGAATTTTACTCTCATTATTAATAAATTACTTGATAGTATCACTTGATATTAAAATTGTCACAGGAAGTAATCAGAGTTTAGCTGGGAAAAATTGCTTCAAAGTATTATTATATGGTTTTTATATAAACTAATATTATTTAAACTAATATAATTTTATATAAACTTTAATTAAAATTAAATTTAAAAAGATATTTAATCTCGTTGGTTTCTTTGCGGTTATAAGATTTTTCATTTTGCAAAAAAATTTTTGAATGTGCAAGTTATTTTTTAAAATTTCAATAACTGTCTTTCGTATTCTGTTAAATTTTTTTTAAAATTTTATTTCTGTATAAATTTCAGATGCGATAATTCAAAGAAAATGCTTAAAACATGAAAAAAAAAACATAATTTTATTTATTCGCTCTTTATTTATTTATTTATTGTTATTATTATTTTCTTTTTGTTCATTTCCTTCTTTGCTAGAAAATTTTTAAAATAATGTGAAAGAAATAAAATAAGTCAAAATCTAAACTAAGTTAAAATCTCTTCCTATTAAGTTCAAAAATTAAAATTCAATTAATGAATATTATCAAAATATCGAATTTACAGTCCTTATAATGAAACTGCAGAACATTATTAATAGAGATATTTTAAAATTTATTCAAAATAAACAAATAATTAATAATAAAAAAGTTAAAAGTAATTTGCGATAATATATCCCCCCACACTAATTTTACCAAGAAAAACTTCAATTTAAAAAAGAAATAATAATAAAAATTAAATGGCAATGAAAGAACGAAATGTTTGATTTGATATTAACAAAAGAAAAAAAGCTAAAATAAATAAATAAAATAAAACATTAAATTAATTTTTCTCCTTCACCCAAAACTTTTGCTATCAGTACAATTTAACTACTAATGAACTGCAAAATAAACTCACAACTCCTCAGTTACAGTGATTTATGATGACAGCTATCCCCACCTCTCAATTAGTACCCAGTCGGCGGTCGTAGGGGAAGGAAAATAAACACCAGCCAAAAACTTGGGCACGCCGCTAGAGAGGCAGATAGGCAACCCGAGTTATTCCGGGCTTGCCGCTTTGCGTGTAGAAATGATTCCCGAGTTATTACGGGTTCGCCGCCAGGAGGGTTAATAATTAATTACTTATTTCATATTTCAGTTACCTTTATGAACTTATTTGACGTAAAATGCTGATGAAAAAGAAATGGATAATTTTTTTTCATAAATTTAATTTTTCTAATAACAATATATTGAATATTTTATTAAAGGATCGTGCATTTACTAAAACTTTCCTTATCATTTTGATGGCCAAATATTTGATTACCAAATATTTTAATAGAGAAATATGTTTTCTTAACAATGATTTACTACAGTTCTTTTTTAGTTTTCATTGGGAAAGAAAAACAACATAATTCTGATAATTTTGTTAATTTTCAGCTACAAACAGACATTACACCAAAAAACTAATAGAGAAGTCACAGTTCTATGACTTCAAATTGAACTGTCACACATAAAAACTAATTTAGGTTTATTCCACATCCCTTTTATTAAATCTTTCTTAAATAATGTCTTTTTATTCATAAATACGTTTTTAATTGTCTTTGTTTACTTTATCTATAAAGTTCTGCAGAGGGAAGGAATAATTAAAAATTCAAACAAAAAGGGGAACTGCTGGCAAAGTTATCTATAAGAATTCATTATTTTTGCATTGTGTCAAATTATAATTATTTTTGAATTGTGGTGAATCACTTTGTTGAATCATTCTTATTTTTTTGCATTGTATTGAATCATTTTGCTCAGTGTTGTAGCATAATTATTTCTTTGCACTGTGCTGAATCATAATTATTTTTATCTTTATAGGATCACTAAATAGGCCAAATGGAAACAATACATTCCCGTAGGACTTTTTATGTATTATTTGTGTGTGTGTTCCTGCAACACTTTTAATGTGATATTCTCGGTGATAATTCCAACTTTCTTACCCTGTTATATATATTTCTAGATTTCTCATGCCAACAAATTGTTGTTTGTGGTAGGAAATTAGTTGTAATTTTTTCTAAATAAAAGAAAACCTTTTGTGTTTTGTATTGTTTCAACACTTAAAATTGTAGTTTATTTGAAAATCTAAATCACAATTACTTTGTCTTGGAAATTAAAAATACTGAGAACTGAGATTTAGACCCAAATCGGGCAACGAGGAGGCTCTACTATCGGAGATACTTTTCTTGACAAATTCTGTTTCACCTTCATTGGTATTTTAAAGTTTTGAGAAATTGAGATGTAAACCATTAATTAAAAGAATACAAAATAATTAAATCTAAATTAAACTATCTTTGTAAGAAATGTGCTTGAAAGCAGCAGAATTTTCAAAAGAAAGAATAATTGAAGCAATGGAAATAAAATTATGACCACCGAAGCCGACGTCTTCAGGGGGTACCGGCCTCGGAAGCCATAAAACAAAACCTTTTCTATTGAGAGAGAGAGGACAAATGCCAAAATTAACTGTCTCAGTATCCCGAAGGTTTTATAGAAATCCAGGAAGAGATACATAAAACCAAATCAGAAAAGAAATTTCAACAAAATCTTGAGGAAATAAAAACTCACATTAAACCGGTCAAACAGCGATTTCTCAAGCAAACTAAATGCAAAGGAAACTCAAACAAAAGAAGACAACGCCCTCTATTAAAATGTGCAGAATGAAAAAACGCCTTTACCACAGTACTGACGTAAAATATCCTCGGTGGTAGATGGATCATGGGTAAGAGTCCCCTTGCTATCAGGCTAACCATGGGAAATCTTCCTCGCCATGTAACGCAAATGCGGGGTAATTGCACCATTGCCACAAGGGCAAATTTTTCCAAATACTTCATGCAGGAACTCCCTTGTCTTCTGGATTGGGTTCAAAATTACAAGACTACGGAGTTGAACATTAGTGTAGTTGTAAACCCAAAATTAGGTCAGCTGTTCAATGAAGCTTATAATAATAATTATAATATTACAATACAAACAAATTTAAGTATGATTATCCTCACTGTGTAATTTGTTACGATTTTGAGGAGGAAAAAAAATTCATTTGAAACTTTATGGTTTATTCTAGCATTACTTGAACTGTTTTTTCTCTAAACTTTGAATTACTTATTTAGTTGAAAAAGAAATTGCCATGAAGGATTTCTCTTCTAATGGTCATGTTTCTTACATGATATAGAGTAGTTTTCAACTTTTTGTGTCTTTTAACCTATGGAGTATTATATTAACACAATTTCCCTATTCATTTACTTACTAATTAATGCATTTTGATACAGTAGGCTGAATAGCTAGGTTGGATTAGGATTTATTTTGTGTGCCGTCTGACCAGTGGTCAGAAGTGGCTGCTTTTTTCATAGTTTGTAGTGTACTACTTTTTAAAAAAAAATTTAGTGAGTAGTACGATGCATAAAAACAGTAGTTAGTAGCGAATCCTGGCAGCTATTTTTAACCTTAGTTCAGAAAAGAAGCACTATTCTAAAGCCACTAATTTTTCGAATTAGATAGTGACAAATCTTCGCATATCTGTCAATAGAAATGATCCTGTTTCTGTAGCTGAGCGGTAACGGAAATTACATATTTAGAATTATGTGTAACTAGTATTTAAGCTAGCAATTACGAAAAATAGATAATTTAATCACCTTTGTCACACTTTCTCAAGTGAATGCACACTTATGAAATGGTGTTATTTAAAAGGAAGGGAAGATATTTTCTATGTACTTAATTTGTTAGAGGATATAAAAGAGCATTAAACAATTTTTATAAAATTTCAGTATTTGATAATTTCTTAAATCAAATATTCACTGTTGAAAAAGATTGAAAGTTAAAAGAACAAATTTGAAAAAAATATTTTGGAATAACTCGTGTAAACATGAAAAATATTTCTTAATTATTCCCTTACGTTTAATGTAATCCTATTTCTTATTCAAAACCATTCTGAACATAGGTGCAAATTAAGTTCGTCTCCTTAAATAGTTGCTACAATTCCAAAGTAGTTTGTAGTCACTATATTTAAATAAGAGTAGTTGTAGTTAGCTACATCTGTAAACAAAGCATTCCTAATAAACTACAAAAATAATGTAGTTTTTCCGACCACTGCCTCTAACATTTAAAATTAGCGTAGACATTTTCAAACTAAAATTTTTATTGAACTTGAGAACACCATTGGTTTATCGGATTTTTTAAATTGCCTATATCTAGTGGTGGAGGACATTTTTATCCTTAACCTTTGAGACCATAAATACATTTTCTAAAATTCTAGGCTAGCAGTTGCAATGTATGTCTTTCATATAGCTGAAAACACTTGTAGTGCATTTTGTGATAAATAATTAATAAATAATTGTTCTTTTTTAGGCTACTAAAAGCAACTATTTTGTTCATTTTTTTTTCTGTAGCTACCCAGTATTAAAACATTGCTTTGTTTTTTTTTCTTTATTCAAATAAATAAGCATAGATTAAGGAAAGCTAATTAAATTTTTTCTCATTAAGTGTATGCTTCTAAAAAGATGTTTTTTTTTCCTTGCAAACTGATGGGTGATACATCGTAAATTATCGATATTTTAACTTAAGCGATAAAAATATTCTCACTATATAACTTGAATAAACTAAATATCAACCAGCGAAAAACTTCAACGCGTGAAAAATACTTGAAATTACGGATACTGTATGGTGGCCCATTTTCCGTCAGTGTTTTACAGTGCTAGGAAATTTTCGACTGAATGTTACTTTGTTTGCCACTTTTATTTTGTTGTTCAATCTCAAATTTTAAAAATAGTTGATTTTATCTGAAAAATCAAATTTACACATAAGGAAAATTTTTTTAATCGGTTGCAAAGAGAGCCTCGTTAAAATTAACATTTTTCTGGTGTAATGTCAGAAATCGGTATTTTATGAGCAGCAAAATTATGTTAATTTATTGATTATTATTTATGTAAATGAGTTATGCTGAAAATAACACGATTTATCATACTTATTGATAATTTCTGACTTTATATCGCGATATTAAAAATTCCGATATCGTCTTGCACTCGGTATCAAAACATTTTTTCTTGTTCTCTGAAATTTCAATTGATGTATTTTATTTTTATTAAATTTGTCAAATTTAAACTTTTATAACTATTATTTTTTCCTTCCTCAAAAATCCTAGGGGTATGCGATCTCAATTTGAAATTGAGCTAAGATAGATAAAAAAGGGGAGACATTTGTTCCAGTTTTAATAACTTTTACGGTATTTTGTACATATTGTTAGAGTTTAGGATTGTTACATTTTATCCACTTAGTGTGCCATTTTACTAACAAATTTATTACTGTGCATATCCTATTTGTTTGGGTCGAGTTTAAAATATAAAGTAGGCGTTACTTTTCATTAAAAACTGCATTTATAAAGTAGGCGTTACTTTACAATAAGTACCATGTTTGATAAATAGGTGTTACACTAATTATTGCAATAAAAAGTTACGCCTTACTAAAATTTTGGAAATTTGTTTTTTTTTTTTCTTTTTGAGTTTTAAATAAACATTTTTAAGTTCTAAACAAATTTATCCATTCTCTAAACATATTTCTACAATCTCATCATAAGTGTTCTGCTTCAGTTCTTAAAGACAATAAAGGTTGTTGCGATACTTTTTATAAACTTGAAGGTTCTCCACAAAAAGCATACTTTTTTGAAGTGTCACAATGCAAGTAGAATAGTTAGAATAAAGATGAATCCCATATAATTTTTTAAAATGCAGTGGTGAAAAATTAACTACAGATTGAAATGCTAAGCAGAAAGTAACTTTAAACTCTCCTATAGCAAAAAAATACTCATCTATAAAGTGGAGCAAGGTGGCAACTTTGCTATCTTATAATGAATTAAAAAATATAAAAAGAATCATCCTATATCTACCAGTAATATTCTAATACTATTATTTTTAATATATTTAAAAACCACTTTAATTTGACCTCTTGAATTCGCGTAGCGCGTCTTACAACTCTGTAATCACGGAATATATAAGTTAAGTCTTTCCCGATTTATTTGGAGAAAAAGACGAGTAGTGACAAGTTAGAGATATAAGATAAAAACACTGCTATTTCTCAATCACTGTATTTTCCGCCTACTTTGTTTTCGAAATATTTAAGTTCTTGACTACCAGATATTTTTTTACAGCAAAAAGTTTAAAAATATGGTTTATTTAAATCTATATAACTGAAACTATTCGAGAAATATTGTTCAAATTTTGTCTTTTAAAAAAGGATAATTTCAAATGATGTTAATATTTTCATTTTTACTATTTAAAATTTATTCGATGGTTTTTAAACAAAATAATAAAAAAGATTTTTTTTTAAATTATTTTTGTATATATGTTACCGACAGTCTATGGAATGCCTAGGTATTGTATATAATGCCTAAAACTAGCCGGAAATGTATGAAATGATTTATATTTCACACATTTCCTAGGCATTCTATAAAATGCCAAATGAGAAACCTGCAAAGTATAAAATCTTCTGTGGCCATGCTAGTACAGGAGATGAAATGGATATTTTGTGCAATATTTGTTTTTAAACAGAAAATAATTGTGAATTAAATGTGAATTTTTTGTACGAAAATTTTGTTTCCCTTAATAAGAAAGGCATAAATTATGTTTTGTACAGCTTTCATTTTTCATTACGCATTTTGAATAAATTTTTTTTAATGACACTCTGATTATTTTTTCAGAATAACATTTTTATTTTTGAGAAATGCACATCATTTACATATTAACCTCATCAGAACGTTTTTTTTTTTTCATACTTTGCCTAAATAGTATTTGTCATTCTGTAGAATGCCTAGGTATTATATACAATACCTAGGGAAAGTATGTAGTACTTCTCATATTTCATACTTTGCCTAAAATCATCCAGCATTATATACGAGTACAATGCCTAGGCATTTTATAGAATGCCGGCGTTTCATACTTTGCCGGTAACATATATAAAGAATTATTTTTGTTTTGAATTACATTTGGATAATTGAAATTGGTTCAATGGAATCAGTCGAAATTTTTTTGAGAAATAAAAATTTAAAAATACGATTTTCCTTGATATTTTATAACTCTGAAAC